GAATGTAATTATATTTTAATAAAATTGAAAAATAATAAACTGATAATTAAACTATTTTTATTTTTATAAATTTCAATATATATATATATATATATATATATTTTTTAAGAATGTAGATTTAACTAATTCCATTGTGGTATTTAATATTCTTACTAATTAGATTAAGTGTATAAAATTTTACATAATTTAAAACTATTTAATAGTTTATCACGTCATTTTATTTTAACAAATAAGATGATAATCAAAACATATAAATATTAATTATAAGATAACATATATTAAAAAATCTAGATTATGCGAAATTTTATAAGAATAATCACAAGTGTAATATTATATTACTTAACAGTTATATTTTAATTTGTAAAAAAAAATATGTCATTAACTTTAACACATGATGTAAAAGTTAGTGAACGAAAAAACTTTTCTTATACTTACATGAGCATGTATTTCTTTTTGGACTCATCAGAGTACAATATTACTATTAGTTTATTCTATACATTGTTTTTAGCTCCGGTTTTTTTTATTAAAAAAAATATTTGTTTTATTTTATTTTATTTTATAAAAAGGGTAGGAGAGAGTAATATATTTTCCAGCAATTAATAACTCATGAGCAGTTATAATAAGTTCGTTAAACCTAACCAGCTTTAACCAGTACTAAATGAAGTTAATTAATTAAATAGCTCTTATTGCATGTTTTGCCTCTTAATTGAAAGTGAAAAACTAATGCCTCTTTGAGAATACACGATTAACTCCCTCATAACAAAAGTTAAACCTTAAAGTATGAAACAATACGAAGCAACAAATTAAATCCCTCATAATACAAAATAACAAGAAACCGAATAGTAAAAAAATAAATACCTCAATACATAGGAAGAATTAATTCATAGGCGAAAACCGTCGCTAAAAATGTACGTAAGCGTGTTCCTTCCGATATCAAACCCTAATTAAGAAAGATAGATCATCGCAAAACCACACCATGAAACTCGCTCCTGCATGTGTCGGAGACGAACACACACACACACAATCGAAAAGCAAATTGGGTCCTACGTTGGGTTCATTTATCTCCGTAATGACGATGTTGTGGGTCGGAAAAGGCACCAAGGTTGGTGGCATTGGGAAGAAAAGCGAAATCGGTTTGACTCGCGTGTTGACCGGTCAACAGAGAAGCGAAGTTCATAAAAGATGGCATAACTGAGAGAGAGGGATTCATAGCCCAAACGGAATCAGCGTCAGTGACGTCGACGCCGGGAACGGAGTCCGTGCTTGGCACGTGCGAAATCATCTCGTGCTTTCTCTTTAGAAAGTTGTTATAATTAGCGTTGAAAAACGCGTTCGTGGAGGTCGAGGTTGAGGTTGTGGTTGTGGTTGTGAATGTTCTAGAATATTCTAGGGCATGGCGGTTGAAGAAGAGCGAGGGGGAGGAGAGGCTGGAGGCGGAGCTGCGGGCGGAGAGGTTGAGCGAGGTGAAGTTCGCCGGGATGGTGCCGGTGCCCGTGGCGGCGACCACCGCGGGCTCCGCCTGCCGGAGCAGCCACTCGATGGTTTCCCCGTCGGACCTGTGGCCGAGCTCGCGCGTCAGCTGGAAGACCCTGGCCGCGCAGGCCGCCGGCATCCGGATCCGCCGCCCCCGCCCCTCCACCTTGGTGTGGCGGTCCTTGGTCGCCGGGCGCTTCTTGGGCGGCGCGTCAGGCTCGTCTTTTTTCTGCAAGAGCTGTAGTGGGCCACTGGGCTTGCAAATGGCGTCTTCCATCATGTGATGTGTTATGATATCATATACGAATGAATCCAAATATCCTCTCTCTCTGAGGAACTTTGAAAATGGAAAATGGAAAAACGAAGTGGGGTTTGTTTGTAGTGATGTTGTGTGTGGCTAAGTGAACATGGAGGTGGCAGCTGAATTGTTCTCTTTTTCCAGAGAGAAAGGGTGAAAGAGAGAGAAAGACAACAAGCGAGAACAGGGGAAGCTAGCTTTAAGCGACATAAATAATGAGTGCTGATAATAGTACTGCTCTATATTTTTATCATTTTAATAAATAAAAATTGTATTACTTTTAGTTTTAGTATCAATTTCATTAAAATGCAATCATGGGGTGGGGTGGGTATCAGGATCAGTCTAACATATTTAAGGTGTGATCGGTGAATCTTACATTTTTAATGGATCAAAACGATCCATTCATGAAATAAACGATCAAAAATTTCAGGTTCGTATCAGTTTGCTAAGTTGACAAATAAACAAACCCGTTTGCATGTCTAGAAAAAAATGAAATTTAAAAAATATTTTTTTTAATTGAAGGATATATTAAATATCTCAATAACTACCCACTAACTTCTATACATTTAAAGAAAGGAACGAAGTGTTTTTTATCTACTAATATAGATAACATAAGTACATTTATAATAAAATGGGTTGGTATCTATCGGCTTAATATATTATAAAAAATATTACATTAATAATATATAAAAAATATCATTATAAGTACAATATATGTAGATATATATCTATTTAATATATAATTATATATAATTTTAGTGTTGATTTTGAATAAAATTTAATGCTACATTTTGTGTGATACTATAATCTATACCCACACTTTTTAATAATATACCAACATATATTATATTTATTATTTGGGTAAAAGTAAGTTTTAGTGATAAGAAATGCTACACACTCCGAAAAATGAACCGAAACAGTGTCTGAATCTTAAAATATTAATATTTTAAAATAAAATTAATATAAAATAATTATTTAATTTAATATTTTATAGTTAAAACTTTTTTTTAAAGGTTCGGAATATATTTCGGAGGATAGTTTTGGAGGCTCTAGAATTTTTCTTTAATAATATATGTTGTGTCACTATAAGATATCTGTCACTATGTAAAAATCTTTTTATAGTGACGGATTGATTGTTGGACTTTGACTCAAATACCCTACCCGTACTCATGTTTCATTCAATATCTTCAATCATTTTCACAAAATTAATTGTTGATACATTAATAATGTAAAATCTTTTTATATAGTAACTCATTCAAGATAAATTTATTATTAATTTTTATAATAATTATTTTCAAAATCATATTTATTATGTTTTTATTAATTTATATTATAATGTGAAAAGAAATTAAACTTAATTATCATATGTGATAACACTAATAGAAAAATGGTAATTTACATCATTACATTCACGTCGGAAAAAGAAAAATCCAACGTTAAAAAAATGTGGTGACAATTTTGTAATTATAATCAAGTTTTTTACGTCGGACCTCATAGAGGCCGACATAAAAAAGAAAATCTATGTCGGATATAGCTTGTGTCTGACGTAGATTTTCCAATTTACGTCGACCCCTATGAGGTCCGACGTAAAATATCTACAAATTTCAAATTTTTTCGCGCGTGCGTCAATATTTAAACAAGAGAGCTTTGAGTGTATGTGCAATTCGAGTCTTCTGAGTTAAGATTTCATTTGAGTGTATTGCATCTGAGTGTACGTTTGCGCGTTTGGGTGGTTTTTAAGTTTTTGACTGATTGCATTGGACTCGCGTTTGAGGTTAGTTTGGAAAATCATTTCTTAATATATTAACTAATATGTTGAAAATAAATGTATGTTTTGATCTATTAATATATTAGTTAATATTATACTCTTCTTTGCGTTTGGGTGGATCATCGTGTGTTAATATATTAGTTAATACTAAGTAGAAAATTTTTCGTGTTTGGGTGGATCTCCAAGCAGAACAGCCTGTTCTCCAAGCAGAACGGGACGTTCTCTAAGCAGAACGGTCTGTTCTACTTGCACGCGTTATGTTTTTTTTTGTTTATAACTTTTTTACGTCGGCTCTTGTAAATGCCCGACGTAAATTTACGTTAGCTATCACAACCGACGTAAATTTACATCTCCCACATTTACGTCGGACCTTTTTCTGACATAAAAAACTTAAAATAATCGACGTAAATTATTCTTTTTGTACTAATATAAGATTTTGAATTGAGATTTTGGATTTGTTTTCACTTTCTCGAATATTCTGAAATATTTTTTTAGTTTAATTTTCAAAATATAAAGTAGTCTTATGCATGAAAGATGTAATAGTCATAACTTCATTATAATAATGTGATCGATTTTCGATTGGATTTAGGTCTAATCCTCATAATTAATTTATGTTGATACAAATAATAGATTAGATCAAATTAAAAGTGTCCACTAAGTAAACAATATGTACAAGGCTTATTGTGAATAACACAACACTTTGGCCTTGAAGTACTACGTCAAAAACATCAATAGATGGCGCTTATTTTAATGATAGACAACGCTTAAAAAGCGCTCTCTATTTGAACGATGTCTATTAATAGATAGCGCTTCTAAAAAAGCGCTATCTATGTATATGCAAATAGAAAGCACTTCCTTTTAAGTGCGCTAACTATGTATATGCAAATAGAAAGCACTTCCTTTTAAGTGCGCTATCTATGTCTAAGCGCTTTGTATATTCTAGCCAATAGAAAGCGCTTCCTTATATAAACGCTATCTATATGTTTAATTCTTTTTTTAATAATTTTTTTACATCATTGACACTTGTTGATTTTGCTATGCATGCAAAAATAAATCCCAAGACATAGAACTATAACAATCAATCAACAATGTAGCCAAATTTGATTCAAAAATATAATGTATAATGTAATACATTAAAATTAAAAGATTAGTTTATATAAACCTAACATGTATTACATTTAGTTTGTTGCAATAATAATTACATATATCTAAACACAATCAATGCTTGTCCATTACCATGCAACTCCTAGTCTTAGACTCAAATAAAAAAAAAGGAAATGTATATAGACCTAACATATTACATTTAGTTATTTGACATTAACTCGACAGTAACATATAATCAATGCTTGTCCAATATCATGTAGTTCTCTCTCTTAGAATATTCCACAGCCCATTGGTTCTACAAAGAAAAGAAAAATTATAAGTCACCAAGTTGATACAATATAAGAAAATGTATAAAGATTAAAAAAATAGCATAAAAGAAAAGTGGCATGGCCTAAAAATGCTATAACAGAACATACTAACCTACAAGCATTTTTTAATGACATATAAACACCAATCTTCTCTAACTTCTGTGATTTGATCATTAGAATATCGTTTCACGCTGCATCTAGGGAAGTACTGAAAAAAAAAAAAACCAACTGAGATTGTACATAAAAGGAATTATAAGGAACCGATATATTTTATACATCTTTTGGAATTGTCCCCCCTTCACAATAGGTGATAATTTCCTACTAATAATAAGGAACCAATATAAACCAACTGAGATTGTACATAAAAGTGTCTTAGCCAAAATCGCAAACCAGTTAAAGTCAATAATTTTGGAAAGAAAATCTAAACATATATAATAATTAATATATTATCATCACTACTAATAATATTGTTCTTGAATCAAAATTAGTTATTATCATATTTCATTTTGTTAAATTGCTGTTGGCTTTTCAAGGTAACCATACATTTTATCTTGGTAACAAAAATTGGTACACCAATAATTAGGAAAATAGTGCCACCGATATTTATGATGTGCTATATATTATATTCATAAAATATGAACCTGAATTAAAATAACCTTTTTTATTTATTTATATTAAAGTTGATATTAAAGTGGTTATGTAGAAATTAAAGTGGTTATTTACTACATTTTTTTTACGTGTTTTATTTTCTTTATAGGCTGCAGCTGCACGTAAAAATAACTTTAGATAAAGTTAACATGCATGAAACCTTGTATTTATATTCTTTCATACACTTACACATGGTATAACATGATTTTGGGTGGTGCATATTCTACAAACACGTGGTATTGGAATCATGTTCCCACGAACACGTGTATATCATTAGGTAAGCTTGGATTTGCTTACCCATGTCCTCTCGAACACGTGTATATCAAAAAGGAAGCAAAGTAGTCAACAACGCATGCACTCAAAGGAAAAAGCCTACCTCTGTTACAGGCCAATGCAGAGTTACCCACAGCAAAAGTTGAATTTCCCGAGTCTTCCAAGATGCTTTCCACCTCTAAAAAGGTTAAACTATTTGCAAGTTCTGGATTTGAGCTCCAACAGGCTAAACTGCGCCGTTCCGTTTGCGCTGTTCGAGCTTCCCGCGCTGCAGCAGGTGACGCTGTCATTCAACGGGTTTTGGTCGGTGGAGGCTTTACAGTGCAACGGCTGGGTGTAACTGCACATTTACCGGTTGCAACTGAAGAAATCTCAGAAGGGGATACATGTGTATCACTGTGAGAAGATTTTGTTCTAGGTGGTGTCTTTGGAACCGGTGAATTACTTGGAACAGATGGTGTAGACTGGTTGAATAAGCATTTAGCAACATTGGATCCCTGAACTTGTGATTGCCTGGGTATGCAGTTCTCTGATGAAGACTGAATGGCTGAAGGCTGAGCTACAATTGTATTATTGACAACGTTATCAGATTGTTGAGGAGCATTTTGACCTTGGACAGGGATTTTCCTACTGGATGATCTACCACGAGATTTTTTAGCAGCGGGAGGAGCATCCGCAGTTTTAGTATCCTTTCTCTTTCTGTCAGATACATTCACTGTTGGTACTGTCGACATGTTTCCACCCTCGGCATTTGAATTGCTAGATTGAGGCACTGATGGTGTGTTCAATTTGTTTTGCACAGAAGTAGGATTCCCTGGATGAGATTTGTAACTAAAAGTTGGTTGAGGAACCGCTACAACCGCTGATTTTGCAGCAGGTGCAGGGAGGTTTCCACTGGCATTGTAAGCAGTCATCACATTATGCATGCCTTGCAACAGCATCTGAACCCGGTTCTTCTCTTGCTCCATAACGACCCGATCTTGATCCAACATCACCTTCTGCTCCTTCAAGCAGATATACTCATCCAGCATCTCACCCAAAGTCAACAAACTCAGGTGGAGTGGCGCGGTTGGAGAGGCTTCTGTTGGGGGGAACTACTTGTTCGGGGGGATTCCGAGTGCCCTAATGGCACTTGAAGCGGGTGAGGTGAATGTGAGGCTTGTAGATATATATATATACTCATCCAGCATCTCACCCAAAGTCAACAAACTCTTCGGTGCCTCGTGAATGGGTGAATTGGCGATGAGGGAAGAGGCTTCGTTTTTGAAGGTGGAGCGAGTGGAGTAGAAGTTGTTGTCGTAGAGGTATCTGTTGACGATGAATGAGATCTGAGTGGGAGTGACTTTGCCTTTGCCGAACACCTTTGGCTTTCTGGCTTTGGATTGTTTCCCACCATTGTTGTTCGAACACCTCTGGCTTTCTGCCTTTTGGGCGGTGGATCTGAGCAACAACGAGATTGGAGGGGTTGTGCCGATGTTCTTGCCGCTGTTGCCGAGGCTTGCGTCGTTGTCGTTGGAGGAGAATAGGCTTGTGGGGATGTTGTCGATGGAGTATGCGTTGAAGGTGGTTTTTCCCTCAGGTGGAGTGGAGCGATTGGAGAGGCTTCTGTTGGGGGGAACTACTTGTTCGGGGGGATTCCGAGTGCCCTAATGGCACTTGAAGCGGGTGAGGTGAATGTGAGGCTTGTTGATAATTGCTTCTATAGGTGCCTCGTGTTTTCTTCTTTTTTCAGGGTGGCGAACAGAAGTCTTACGAAGAGTAAGAGATTCAACCACTTCATTTTCCCTTGTACATATATTTGATAATATAGGAGGCAAAGCTTCTTTTTTTTTTTGTGCATTTGTGTCTTGTGATTAATTGAATGTTTTTTTGTAAAATATGCAAATTACCAATCACTACAACCCTATGAACTAAGCCCCTTCTTATTCGGTGGCACAGTGGTAAGTATAAAAGGTTACAGAAAGAATGCAATAATAGTAAGTGTAAAAGGTTACAAAACCAGAAATTCGAATGCAATAAAGCAGAGATAATCTTGTCTAATTATTAAAATTTCAAAACAACACAAATCCATCATACATCATTCGCAGCAAACTCGCAACTAAAAACAAAAATAGTAAATATAAAAATAAAAAATAAATGCAATATTTGACTAAAAGAAGGTAATCGCATATACAAGAACTCACCTTTTTTATTTCTTATAAGAAGAAACGAACGTAACTTCAATGAATCTTGCAAAAAGTCTAGTCAAGGATGAATCTTGCAAAAAAAAACCCCTAGATTTTTCCATGGAAGAGATTAGCATCTTAAAATTTGTCATAAATTAACGTCTTCATCACGTAATTTGTCACGGTGCATTGCATTCATCTATTGATCAAAGAAAATTGATTAAAGAAAAAGTATAGAAAGAAAAGAAACAAATTTTAATATACAGAAAGAAAAGAAACGAAATTTAATATTTGTTTCAAACTTGTATCAAAGTAAAGCATTAATGGAAAAAAAATATTTGATAAAGAAACAAAAAAGAAACACCTAATGATAAAAACCTGAAATATGAGTCAATAACGTGATTGTTGAGCGTAACTTGAGATACACTTTACGATCGAACAACAACGATGGTGAAGGAAGATTTCACAATCGGGAGGGATAAAGATGATTATGGCATGAAGGTCGAGAGGGACAGTGAATAAGAAAAGAACCGAGAGGGACAGTGAATAAGAAAAGAACCGAGAGGCTAGAGAATAGGAAAAGAACCGAAAGGCTAGAGACAGTGAATAAAAATCTGAACAGTGAATAACAATTAATGTGAACGTCATCAGGGACCAATTAATAGAAAGTGTGAATAAAAATCTGAACAGTACGTGAATAAAAATCTGAACAGTATAACAATGTGAACATACGTGAGGGACCAATTAATAGAAAGCGTGAATAAAAATCTGTTCAGATTAATTTTTTTAATAAAAAGCATGAGGGACCAATAGAAAGCGTTTTTTTAATAAGTGCTTTGTTTTTATTTATTTACAAAACTGATTTTTCAATGAGCGCCATAAATTTTTTTTTTTAAAAAATAATTAATTTATAAAATTTTATAAATGACGCTTCTATTCACATGCGCTATCTATTTATTTTCTTTAGAAAGCACTTTTTTAGAAAAGCGCTATAACATATTTTTTCTAAATAAAATAACACAAAGAAAGCATTTTTTTATTAAGCGCTCTCTATATAAAACTTTTTATAAAATCTTATAAATAACGCTTCTATTCAAACGCGCTATCTATTTATTTTTTTTAGAAAACACTTTTTTAAAAAAGTGCTATAACATATTTTTTCATAAATAAAATAATACAAAGAAAGCATTTTTTTATTAAGCGCTCTCTAAATAGCGCTATCTAATGCCACTTTTGGTGTAGTTAGTCCAATCCGGTTGATTTCACTAATTTATAATAAATTAGATTAAAATAAAATATGTCAGTGGTTGATTTCACTGACCTTCCTCATACATATTAGTTAATTCAACAACCAACAAAAACATTTTTAACTCTATTTCTGTGATAAATTATAGGTTTCTTAAAAATCTTGATTCCTTCGTGAAATTTGTTTTACATGCATTAAGATTAGAGATCTAAAATATTGACCAATAAGACTTATCCTATTCCTATTAATAAGGGTTATTAGTGTTATTTTTTCAGATTATAGTTTTAAAAAAGTTTTTCAAGCTCAATTAATTCTATAAGATCATGCAATGGGTGATCAAGTAAAAAAAAATTAATAACAAAAGAAAAATAATTAACTTAATAAAAATATCAATTGAATAAAAACATGAAAAATTACATGGAGTATAGGATAGCTATGTCAACACTAAATAACGACTCTATTTATTCTTTTAAACTTGTCTAAAATATACTATATATGGAGTGTTTTTCTATTCTCTCCCTATCCTATTTTTAAGACTTTTGACAAGCGTATCAATTGTTGTAAGTAGTAAAATAGATAGAAGTCTAAGTATTAAATCCATGAGGACTTGTGCAACAACTAATGAATCTTATTTAATACTAATTAGGGAAAAGAAAAAAGATAAATATATTTGAAGAACCCAATACAGATAAAGAACATATTTTTAGGAATTTAGAATAATTAAAAGACTGAAAAAATAATAAAAAATTTAAAATAAGAGATGTCAGTGATCGATTTCATTGACCTTCTTCTTATGTATCCTTCCTAGTTATTATTCAATTTCAGTAATTATTAATTAAGTTAATTCAACAACCAATGAAAATATTTTAACCATAATGCCTTAAGTGAGAAATTCTGAGTTCCATAAGAAAAATCACAATTCCTTAGTGAAGTTTGTTAAAAACTCGAATTAAGATCAAAGGTCTAAAACATTAACTAATAAGACTTGTCATATTCATAATAATTAGCCTTATTAGTGTTACTTTTCATATTGTAATTTCAAAAGAATTTGCCAACCTCAATTAAATCTATGAGGTTGTGAAATGAGTGATCAAGGTAAAACAAACATCAAGAACAAAAGAAAAACAATTAGTTGCATAAAAATATCAATTGAATAAAAATAGGAAAAATTACATGAAGTAAGATAGTTACGTCAATATCCAACGTACAACGACTTTTTTTACTCTCTTAAACTTATCTAAAATATAATATATAGTGTTTTTCTATTCTCTCCCAACTCTATTTTTATAAGATTTTAATGGATTTTTTCCAATTGAACTTGTAATGTCCATTGCTTAGAGCGACCAATTGACTTACTTTAAGTGAACTCTTTATGGTACTTCACGAATATCTTTTAAATTAGAGCATCAGATAACTTACTTTGAGTGAACATAAAGTTGTTTAGAGTGAGAGTATGCTTCCCTCTTGCTATAAGCAAATGCTCCTAATATTCAATTTCTTTGACATTAACTCCTCCCTTCCTTATCTGAGAACTAAAACAAAATCAGAAACACCTAAAATTAAAATAACTCTACTAATTAATGACATGAAATTAAAATATTAAATTTTGATAAAAACAAGACTCTAAAACATAAAATATATTACCTAAAATTATTTAAATTAAATAAAAAATATTAACATATTTAACAATTATCATAAATAATTAACCCTTTCAATACATCATACCAATATATTTTAGCTAAATCAATGAATAAAAGAATCAAATTTTACAAAGAAAACAAAAGAAACAAAATAAGTCAACAATAACAATTGATGTGGTAAAGAATGTCTGAATTCAGTGAGGAAAAAAAATATTTATTTACTTGTGTACTTTAGTTTTGGGAGAAAGAGTGGGAAGAATGAAATAGAATTGGAAATGAAGATTGTATTACAAGGTGTTATTTGATTTTCGGACGGGTTTTAAATTGCTCCATTACATTGTATAAAAGCTTTTTGTTGTCAGACACCTATACATGGATTGGAGGGGTCTTAATTATACCACGTTAATGAACTTATTTTCTTTTATTAAAAACAGGGTGTTTGGTGGTTGAAGATCAGTGGCTTGATTAAGACTCCACGTGTGGTGTAGTTTATTATATGATTCATTAGAAACCATAAAGGAAGAAAAAAAAAATCAAAAGTGAAAGACTGAGTAATAAAGAAAAGAGATAAACCAAGTGGATCCCATCTCCATCAATCATTGCCTTTTTATCTTCATCCTTTCTTCAATTAATTTGCTCCCAAGTGCTTCTCCTTCCTCGTAAATCCTTTTATTACCTCTTTTCTAATTTCTACCTTCATATGGGGAAGTTGTCAAGGAGTATTATTTCCTTGTTTTCTTTAATCATAAATTATTCTTTTTAATTTATGAATATTAAAATTAACCATAATCTTGAATCAATAAAATATTAAATTCTTCAAAATTATTTTATTAAAAAATACTAATAATAATGATTTTCCACCATAATTATGAATGTGTTTAAATAAATAATTTAATATTTACCTAACAATTTTAATTAATATAAAAATTGATTACGAAATTTATCAAAACAAGTTATTTTTTTTATAATCATTTACACTAAAAATTGTAACACTATGATTTTATTAAATTATATATATATTTAATATATATGTAATTAAAATTGATGCTTTTTTTATGTTGTTTTGAGTTTATTTTCTATGTGTTGGAATGAGAGCTAGAGGATAACCATATAGTTAAGTTATAGAGATTATAATTGAAGTGTTTCAAAATGGTGATGAAGAGGATTGAGATATATATATAATGAGAAGTGAAATTTATAAGTTTATAACTCAAGATTTATAAAGTGAAGTTAAGGTCTCTAGCTAGGAATTACAAGTTGTTCAAGCTTTTGAATAAGTCTAAGGTGGTGGATCTTCCTTAAAGTAAGAGATTGATAGATCTTAAGGTCTAAGAAAGATTGTGGAATTAAGATTTTTGAGAATTAAACATAAAGGAGCTCTATTGAGAGTTGCAAAGGAAATCTTCTTCTACATCAATTTCTTTTATCTAGGATCTCAATTGAGGTAGGGAATAGTTTGATTGTAAAAGCATAATTGTGATTTTTTTTTTGGTTGAATTGATGGATGAAAGTTGTAGGTTGAAGAGTTGTATATTCTAGAGTTTCGAGAAATTTGAACCCAACTTTATAATTTTGATGATTCTTGAGATGTGGTGGTTGGCTGTTTCTTGTGAAGGGAAAGGGGCGAAGAGAAGGGAAAGTGGTTGGGGGAGAAGATGAAGCGTATGAAGAATAAATAAGGTTCTGGAGATTAGAGAGGGATTGGGTGGAGGGAGAAAGAAATTAAAAAAATAAAAAAAATAGAAAGGAAGAGCGATGTTGCAGAGAAGTAATAAATAGATAAAAGTAATAGCAGTTGAAAAATAGCCGTTTGAGGGAAAGATTAAAAAAGAAAAGAAAAAAAAAAAAAAACGCAGCAATGCAGTACAAATATGTGCATTCATATTATGTATTTTTTTCTCATATCTTCTCCATCTATAAAATTAAAGAAAATAAAAATATAAAATTATAAGTTACTTAAATTTCATAGAAGCAAAATTTAGTACGAATTGTTTATCTATAACACATTACGATAAAAATCATTAATCACACATTTAGATGTATTAAACAAACTTATGTGAGATGCTTCCATTGAAATTGTCTTTATAACATTAACCAGAAGTTGCTGCCTGCCAGTTTCTGTGGACCTTTCAAAATATTAGCTAAGTTGGGGGAAGTTGCGTATAAGCCCAATTACCAGAACAGACAAGGATTCATCTATAGTTTTTCATATTTCCCAATTAAAAATGGCCATCGAAGATTTTCATGTGCAAGTTAAGCTGCCACAAGAGTTGTAGGTCCAAACTGATCATTAATCGTCAAAAAACAACTAGCCATAACTGATAAGTATCGGATTAATTAATTAATTTGGCGCCAACATTTGATCACGTTTGAAACTATATATAAGGAAATTGTCCACTCTTTCATTAACATGAAAATAAAGAGAGTGCACATGGAAGAAGTCATTATTTATTATTATAGGCTCCCAACCTATCTTTGAGGAGGCACTTCCACAACATATACAAGAACCGACCATATAACTAAAACTAATAAATAATCATTTCATGACTCTTTTAAAAGCAAGTAATGGAACAATGAAAAAGAAAAAAAAAACGTTCTTTCATTTTGAAGCCTTTTAATTAATTTCCTAGGTTTCTTGATAAAATATTGGCCTAGTTTTTTCACATTATATAGTAAACCTTCAGAAGGGCACAAAATAGAAGCAACAGAAACAACCAAGTCACTGACTTTAAAAGAAATACGATATATCCATATAAATAAATGCATTGTGTGGTCCAACAAAATAATTTTTCCACTATGGTTATGAACTTATGATTTCTATTTAAAGTTTTGTAGTCTAAGTCTACCCCTTGTGAACAATAAATACCTTCTAACAGCTAGTATAAGAAACCAAGAAGATGCAGATATCTTCTCCTTGATCATTAAAAGCAGTGCTGAGCTCAAAACAGTTTTTAATATCTGAGCTTGCAACCCTTTGAAGTATCCCAGTATACCCTCCCTTTTCCATATTGCATAGAGAACCCCAAACACTGTTTTCTGTGATTTTTTCTTTGTTTTGGAGGTTGCTTCATCCATGTCTGCAGCTTGAATCATGACCTTGCACCTACATGTAGAAAGACGTCAGAACGATCCCAACAAGTAAGATAGGATCTCATTGGATAAACTTTTCTAGATGTAGTTTTAGAAGAGAAAAATAGGAAGAAAAATTAAAACAAACTTCTCCATAAGTCATGCTCAAATTAAAAATAAAATTTTGAAGAAAATTTTTAAAAATTAACTTATATATAAAATAATTTTTACTTATAAAAAAAATTGTTTAATTTTTTTTCCTATTTTTTTCTTATATTTATGGAGAAGTTTACTCAAACAGACTCGTACTCAAATCTGGATGTGATAACAATTGGAAGGTAAAGTTACTGACCTGATAGCAGGATATGTTAGGAAGGTAGCAACACTCTTTGAAATAGCACCTAGAAGAAAGGCCATGAATGCAGAAAGGGATGATGTAGATAAGCCCTTATCATCTTTGTCTCTTGTACTCCCCAGTGCTCTTTGTTTCAGCTGATCAAACACTGTATACTGCAGATCGTGGAGTTACCATATTCATCAGTAATGGTTCCTCAAATCAAGCACTGTATTGATGAGGTTATTTTTATGATATTTGTTTGAGGGAATATTTTATGAGAGTTATTTTTATAAGGTTATTATACAAGCATACTCCACAATGATGAGATATTGTCCGTTTTGGGTTTAAGCCCTCACGATTTTGTTCATCACCAAAAAAATTTATTAATCATTAAAGTATTTTTGTACTATATAAATTTTTATTTCTTATGTTATTTTATTGATGTGGGACTTGTTTGTATCTCAATATGTATAAAGTAATCTATTGAGTTCAAGTACCTGAATTGCAGGATTTGAGCTCAGCAACAAGGAAATGCAGAGGCCATCAAATGCATCACTCCATGTGCCTTCTGCAAGGGTCTTCAATAGCCCTTTAGACTTTCCAAAGGCACTTGCCTGCATCCTTGAAGAGGCTCTATCCAAGGGCTACATCAATGGCATATTCTTTAGTTAAACTCAAAAAGTTTGATAAGATATCTTGGATATCATATGAAGTTATGTGATTGTAATATATATTTGATCCCTGTGATTATTTTTTTTTTCTTCTCCTTCCTTAATATCATGGATCATTGACTAAAAGGTAGTATAAAAGATTTATAACTTTGATCATGATTTGTTTTCCCTATAACATCATAGCATATGAATTTTGGTTATGATTTGGATGAGAATAGCTGGGGTTCTAACCTGAGTCACAATGACTGTGCAGGCCCCGGCAATAGCAGCAATTACCAAGTTCGCTTTGGCTCCAATGGATTTAGAACACCTTTTATCCATATAGAGATTTTTAAAGTAGCTGTAGCCATAGAAGTAAACAAACTGCGAAACAAAAGAATGAAGATTTTTGGTTCCAATTCCTTGGTAAAGCGAAGACACCTGACCGCTAGATATCGCTTCAGTTAACACGTCACAGAAGTTCCTACAAAAGTTTAAACAAAATTAAGAATAAATAATAATAATAATAATAATAATAATAATAATAAAAAGTTAGGGATATATAAAAATAAAAAAATGTGTGTCTGAGTTGAAAATCGAAAGGCGGCTTGAGTATTCCCTTTAGAAAGCAAGAATTCATAAAGATTTCACTCCAAATTCAAAACACCAGCGGTCAAGCAAGTGGGAATGTGTTCTTGAAAAAGCCAGACCAATCATGTCAGAACAATCATGTCTCCCTATGGGGCAACCTCTGTCAATCTCTTTGTGTATGAATCACGAACTCGGGGCATGCCCGGACCTTTGAGCTTTGTTAAAGAGGTACGTGTAAATTGGAAGTATTGTTTCTAATGCCATAACACTCTTTCATTCCTCTTCTCCCTATGAAAATTCACTCTAGGCCTCATCTATTAACCCCAAATAAACAAAGTATATTTGTGACAAGAATGTTGCTTGAACCATAGCATGGAAAGGGTAAGAGAGAAGTAGTCACGTGAATCCAAACATGACTAAGGTTTAATAAAATAAGACATCCCACACCTCACAAGCGCTGCAAAAATGAAAGCCCGACAGGAAACCCACTAAGGAGGCTGTGCAAAAGTTAGGGCAAGATCTACTAGGCAACCCACAAGTAAAAAGGAGTAACCTAGGCAAAAGTAAGGATAAAAGAAAAATGTCCGCTAGGGAACACACCCCAAGTAACCTAGGCAAAAGTTAGGACGTCAAAGCAGAAACTCGAGTCGAAAACAGAAAGGCAGCTCAGGGGGATGATCTAACCAAAGCACAACCCTAGGTCATCACACCACTTTCCAAAAATGATTAAAACACAGCGATAACTTCCTTCTAGCAAATATGTTTTGTTTAATAACCCTAAACACAAAAGCCCATCTTGGCCAGCCATTCTTCTAAAAACCCTTTTGAAAAAATCCCTTCTAGCAAACCTTTTGAAAAAAATACAAACATCACTTCTTTCTTTTCTCTTGACCCTTATGGCATTAAAAAAGTACCGAAAAGATACACGGAAAGTGCACAGTGAACACTCACAAAGAGAAGACAGAGACCTCCCTGAACGGAGCTTGGAGACGTTTGACTACACATTAACCAAGGAGCCTCTAAAACCTTGGGTTTAAAGGAGTATATCCCGACAATAATCACAAACGGCATGGATAAAAATGAATCATCAATATTAACCTTAACGCATACAGGTTAATTTCCCAACAAAAAAAAAATTGAATTGCATGTTTAGGAACAAAGACATGAGCATAAACTGCATCGCATGCATATGAGGTAAGGGCATATGGAAAGGTGGTACACAAAAAAAAGGAATAAATAAAAAATAATAATAATTCATGTCTTGCATTTTCATTGCATCCATACATCCATGCATTATACTCTCTATAGATCAGAGGGAGTCATAGAGGTCAAAACACTCGCAAGTAGCTCAATAGCCAAGCAAGAGCCCTAGCTAACAAAATAATAGAGAATGCTAGAAAATCCCCAATCTAGGGATCCATCACAAAACAAGGGGGCAGGACCCCCTCACAACAAAGATCAGTTTAGACACTTCAACAACGCCGAATGAGTTCACACTCGATCATCAACAAATGGCAGTCATAACAATACCACATGACGGGGGCAACACCAGAATCCCTGTCAGCCATCTACTTCTCTACCCATTAACACAGGGGCACATCAAGCACCTCCTACCCAACATCCTTGGGGTAACAAATCAAGCAAACCAATGAGGGGACCGATAGTTTCCTCAAAATACAACAAAGGTCTGGAGAGACTGTACTCACATCTCAATCCGGTATACGACAAAGCCGTTAGGGAAAGGTCTGGAGAGACGTACTCACCTCCCAATCCGGTATACGATAATCTGAGTTGAAATAATAATAAATGAATTTTAAATCTTATATTTTTTTTTCCAAAATTAATTTTAGTTTCTATACTTTAAAATCGATAATTTTAGATATCGTGGCTTTTATAATCGGTGAGGTTCTTTCCTCACCCTTATTATATCCGAAGTTCTATAGAGAAACAAAATTTATTATTATCTATACTAATGATTAAAAATTACTTCAATTAATGTGTCCAATTTCTTCATATATTTTACCCTTAATAATTAGGAGTCGTTACCAATCAAAAACTTATTCAAACCGAAAATTTTAGGTTAACAAAAATTATTAGTTTGGATTGGATTAAAAAAATATAAATATAATAAATTTATATTAGATTAACAACTTTGAGTTAAAAATTCAATCTGCCGATCAATTATTATATTATTATTATTATTATATATATATATATATATATATTATATTTTTCATAAAAATTTAGAATTTATTAAGTGTACAGATCTGCTACATACTGCATACGAATGAATATAATTAGGGATCACAAATTGATGAATTGAATAATATTTTAGATAGCTTATAATAAATTGGATAAAAACACTTCATTAACTCATTCAGATCCATTAAAGTTTCACTTAAAAATTCAAGCCATTCAATCTATTAAAAGAAAAAAAATTAATCTATTTATTAATAATTTTTTAATAGATAGATATCCAATCCATCCATAAAAATAATGTTTTAATTTTTTTTAAAAAAATATTTTTGAAATATTTTATTTTTCTTTCATTTATTTATAAATCACTACATTCTTATATAGTATTTTAAAATTCATAATATTTTTTTTATATTAAAATAATGTTTTAAAATTTCAATCTAATAAATATCTTATATTATAATCTAATGAATTTTAAAAAAATAGTAGATGAATCATTAATCATCCATAAAATTGAATGGATGGATTAGATTTGATTCATCCATTTAATGGGCAGGTTTGATGGATTGGATGGATGATGAATAATTGATTCCTTTAGTCACCTCTAAATATAACATTAATTAACTTATTTTTTTTTCAACTTTATGTTTTAATTTTTAATTTTTAAATGATAAATTCAACGATCTAATCCAAACCAATTGAATTATAGTCGAATTAGTTGAGTTTAGATTGCAATATATTTTAGAGAAATCTAATTTGAATCGATCCAATTAAATTTAATCAAATTAGATAAAAAAATAGCACAAATCCAATTTAAACCAATGCCTACTCCTATTAATAACTAGTAAAATATGTCAAAAAAATTCCATAAATATAAAAACAACAAAAAAATTGTCATAAAAAAATATATTTTTTCCTATTTTTCACATAAACACAAATAATAGGGATGACAATAGGGTGAGATGATAGTAATTCTCCATCACTCACTCTATTTATTATAGATATATATTTAGTATGTATACATGAAATTTTTATATAACTATAGGTTCGCAAGGGTATCATTAGATATTTGAAAAAATATTAAATTTTAAATAAAATGGTAAGAAATAAATAAAACTAAAATTAAATAATTTTATAATTAACATATATTTATGTTAAAAAATTTTTTTGTAACATATATTTATATTTATGACAGATATTTAATATAAAAATAAATTAAACTAATATGCTTTATATATAATTAAGAGTAACTTTAGTATTTTTAAAATGTCTTGTGGTTACAGACAATTTATTTTTTGTCTCGCTTTATTATTAAGTAGATACTCATATAATTATTTGTTTAAAATTTATAATACATTTTATCCATAAATATCTACAAAAGTAATTTTGTCATCCTATTCATAGAGCTTTTTTTTTTTTTTTTTTTCTTGCTAGTAAAAATTACGAGGATCAAAATCATCATAACTTCTTCCTAGCTTAATTTGGTAAATCATCGTAGAATATATATATCCAAATCAAATATAGTGAATTACTAAAAATATCGTTGGTCTTATTATTTGGTGGTGCCAGAATTACAAAATCAGTAATTGAGTCACATTTAGCACAATAGATTAAGAATTGAAAAATGATTTTTGAAAGAGAAATCATTGAAAGGTACCTACCTATATTTTGGGTGGTGAAGGGAAGGAACCTGAGCTTGGAATTTGGTGGTGCAAGTGTCAAGAGGGTACAATGTAGTGGTGCTCAAGATTGAGCCTATGGCTGCCGAGGTTGCTTCAGCTAAGGATTCCATATCAACGTAGGTTTTGTGTTTGCAGGAATCAGAGAATGTTTGCGAAATATTTTTATTATCAGATTTTTTTTTTATCAGAATAATTTTATGTTTTTTATCAGTGCGTGAGCAATATTAATATTTGTTTGGAGGAAAGGGAGAGATGAATTGGTCCACTGCACTTAGACATAGACAGTTAATATAAACACCGACCAAAATAGGAACCATGACATAAAAGTTGGTGCATGAATTACGTTTAACATTTGACTTTGACTGAATACTTATCCAGTAAGACTTTCTTGTACACTGACTCAAAAATATGAGATGCTGAATCATTGCCACCCCATTAATTATATTATAAAATAATAATATCAAATTAAAAAGAAAACTGAAAAAAATAAAAAATAAAAACAACAGTTCATGTGTTGAATCTGCGAGAGATGAAAGAGAAGCATGAAATTGTTCTAGTGGGTACACCTCCGTTACTATTAGATTGCTACAATTTCAAGTTTGTTCTTGTTCTTACCGGAGATCGGTTAAAGGAGATGATCTGCTGGGCAAGATTGGTGAGCCTTCTTTGTTGGGTACGTCGGCTGCTCCAGAGTGGGGGTGGTATCTGCAAAAGAGACTCCGATGCTAAAGTTAGTTTTTGTAGGTGTGTGGGTCTCGTATATGTAGTATACGTACCTTAGTGTGAATTAGGGTTTATCTGGGCTTGAGGTCGGTTGTGGCCCGTTCAGATAGTGGGCCTTTGTTTTGACCGATGTCATGCAGGGCTTAGTGCCGAGTTCAAGCTCGGTGCTTGCACGCGGATAGTACACTAGCCCCCGAGCTCTGAAGATCTCGGGTCGAAGAGTTAATTGCCAAGTATGTGGGGGGTCGTGACCTTTCATTTATGCCCCTTGGGTGAAGTGCCATGTGTTACGAAGCGTTGCCTCGTTTCTCGAAACGCATGGGCGGTGCGTAGTGGGGGGTGACGGTTTTACAATGATGGGATATACCCGTCATTATGGGCCTCATTTAATGCCCTGTCCGTTTTGTCATTTTCTGCCCTCGTGTCACTTCCGTTTTCATTTTTTTAAAACAGTTCTCATCCTTGCTATTGTGGCAGGAAAACCAATAATCTAGCCCATTTTTGCATTCCTGTTCTGTAAATTATGAATGAACGAATTAATGCTGAATTTCTGATAAAAGGTGTAAGCTTCATCTTAACAGTAATTACATGTTAAGGTTAGTGCAGAAGATTCACAAATACATATTGTACCAACCTGACTTAAAGCCGAGCTCAACCGAGTTCATAGGGTAACTTGACCGAGGTGATCACTTAGTCAAGCTAAAGTAAATATATGAAACGCTGAGGTGTTACATCAGACAAAAGATACTGGTGAGACACCTCGGCATATTGACGACATTAAATATAATTCAACCGCCAATAATCCTCAGAAAATAACCGTACGACAATTACACAGTTACTCGAGGAACCACCATAGGTAGTAATATAAGAAATACATGGAACCGAGAAGAGATAACTAAATTGATCGTCAGAGTCTTTTTTGTAGGTACATCCGAGGCGCGTGAGGAGATTGCTGATTGAGAAGACTAATCTTGGAGACCAACTTCGCTCAATCCCTAACAAGACCGAGATGAAGAGGAAGAAGACAACCCCTCATGACTGAAGAACCAACCTGATTCTTGTAAGAACACATATCAAAATATACGAATGTTTGGATAATACTTTAAAAATCACGTTCAATAAAAAAATATGTGCGTTCTTATAAAAAAAAATCTTGTAAGTGTAGGTTTTTTTCAATTCAACTGATTTCAAACACATTCTATTCAATTGCGATTAATTTCATAAGAGTTTGCAACATCATCACATCTTAAATTTGTAAAGCCTGGTGCAAGTGTGGCTTTAGCATATCATAATACAAGTCAAAAACCAGTTTTTAACATTACCCATCTTTCAATATCGACCCATGAAAGTCATAGAAGTGTACAACGTCAATCCATTTGAGTATTTGACCCTTTTTGTAAAAGCCCGGGAGGAGAATAATGCAAACCCCAAGCGTGAGTTCAATACCCATCTCAAACATTTCATCAAACACCTTGCGCGTGTTGCAAAAATCACCTTGGATGCCACAATAGATCAAAAAGTCACAGGTTCTCATTTCATTGCCTTGGATAAGAAGCTAAGTTGCGATTCAGATTTGCTTCTTGTTATCAAGAACCCAAGAATTGGTAACAAAAAAAATGCAGAAATTGATGTCAATATCAACGAAGTTGTCAGAACTGGATCTAGAAAATGATGAGGGGTGATTGAGAAGGTTAAAAGTGAGTGCAACTGTGCAAGGTTCAAAGCTGCAAGGTTCAAAGCTACAACCATGAATAGGTGGAACTGTGAAGTTATCATTCGTTGTGTTTTGAATATACTTTTGATATATTCACCAAAACAAGAGAATATACTTTTGGTTTATTCTTTTTAAAACAGAAAAAAAAAGTTAAATTTGAATATACTTTTGCTACATCTTATAATGTTATTTTTTTATTTTGAATTTTATAATTTTTTGACATAATTTATGTAAAAAGTTCTTTTACAATTTAATTTTAGTTATTTTGATTTAATTCTTGTAATATATTTTTTATATTTATAATATAAAAATAATTTATTTTAAGTCTTTATAATTTTTTTAAAAGAACAATTCAAAATGATTAAAATATAATAAGGATTAAAATGAAAAAAAATTGGTATATTTGGGATTAAAATAAAATTAGAATGACTAAAATAAAAAAAAAATACAAAAATTATTTTGAATAAAATATGAAGATAAAAAATATTAAAAAATAAAAATATACTTAAACCAAATAATTTTCATGGCAATTTACAAGGCTTTTGTATTATTTCTCATATTAAGTGAATTTATAAAAATAATACAATGAAACTATTAGTATTGGTGATGGAGTTATTACATATTCTCGTTGTGGTGAAATCACATATTTTGTGGAATAATAAAACATAATATGATAATTCATTCTTAAAAATAAATATATTCTATTTTATCACTTAAAATATTCAAAGAAATAAGACATGACATTAAAATTAATAACTAAAAAATTACTTAAACCAATTACATAATTTTTATGTCTATTAATTTATTACGACGTGTTAAAATTCAAATCCAAATCAAAATTATAATTAATCAAAAGTAAAAAATGATAATTGAAAGGAATTCAAAAACATAAATATAAATAAAATAAAATGCTAACTAAATCAAAAGAAATCATGTATCTTAATTTGAAAAAAAAAAATAGTCACTAAGATTAGTCTAATATGATGAGGATATGGATAAGGAAAAGGAGAAAAAAATATACACAATATTTTAGTTTTGAACATTATGTAATTTTTCAATTAATAAAAAAAATGTGAAAAAAGATACCTCTAAAATGTCTCTTTTTAAGATTGAATATTAAGATTTAATTTTACCATCATTCAATTACGATTTATCATAAATGATAAAAAAAATTGTTTGATTTGATAATAATTACATTAAAAGTCATACAAATGGTGATTTTTGATTGGTTGACTATGTGAAACTTTTTATAATAACAATGCATGACTATTAAACTCATGTACATATCCATATTCAATTCTTGTCTATGTTAAAATAATGCATTACTTGCAGAAGTCATGCCTCGCAAACATAAATTAGTCATTAGTTGTTAGTTTTGAGATACCGCATAGATCATGTCTATAAATAAATAAAAAAACTCATAATGGTGATAAATTAAATAATACTTGTAGCTCATTTTGTGGTCAAGATATGATAAATTAGAGTAAGAAAACAAATAGACTTAAATATGTTTTCAGTTTGTGTAAAATGATTGAGTTTTAATTTTGGTCTCCATAAATTTTTTTCCTTGTTGTTTATCTTTCTAAATTTTGTATACATTATTTTTTATCCTTATAAAACAATTAAATTTTGGTTTTGGCTTTGAATTTCATTCCTCTAAAATCTAAAGTCACTATTTTTTTTTTCTATCTCTAAGAATGATTTTAATATATATAAATTACATTTATTTTAAGAACCTATGAAATTTTATAGAGGTATCACATACTAAAATGATACCACTAACAAATGTGAGTAACACTTGAAATAGTCATTTAACTTTTTAATGAACAAACAAGTAGTTAAAAATGATTAGATAATAATAAATACTTAAAAAATTAATTCTAAATTTTAAAGGGATGAAAAACATAAAAAAAAAACTCTCTTTCTAGGTAGAGAATAGGTCCAAATTATGTAAGTCCATCATATCTCACTTAACCAAGTAGAGAAGTCAAATTAGAGTAGAGAGAGTGACTTATTTTGAGAGAAAATAGGTGCAAAACACGGAGAGAAGAGAATAAAGAAAGTCTCGTTGTTCAGGTCCATATCCACCTGACAATGTTTGTTGAATTACAATTGGAGACTCGTTCACTGCTGGATCAGGCTAATTTTTTGGAAAGTAGGCTCATATAATGTGGCATTTCATATTCAACGGTTGGATTGTCAAAAGAAAGTCTAGAGCAGGAAAAAATCAGTCAAAGCAAAATCGAACACAATTGGTGAATATGTGTTGTGGTGCTTTAAGAGCCCAATTGTTAAAAAACACTTCTTGAGTATTGTTGTCTCTTGAAGTGGAGTATTGAGTCTTCGCCAAGTCCTTAGTTGATACCATATGAGGGTAGGGTCAAGCCATACTGGTTTAGAAGTTAACCAAATTGAGTAATGTTGGGATACAAACAAGTCCTACATCGATAAAATAACATAACAAATAACAACTTATATAATACAAACATACTTCAATGATTGAGAGGCCTTTTGGGTGATGACCAAAAACAAAACCGTGAGGGCTAAGGCCCAAAGCGGACAATATCTCATCATTGTGGAGTATGTTTGTGTAATAACCTTATAAAAATAATTCATAAAATATCCTCTGAGACAAATACCATAAAAATAACCCCATCAGTGATATCAGAGCCGCAGGTTGGATTCGGTGACAACCAATAACCCTATAACCCCTCATAACTCATAAAATATAATGTGCTATATAAAGACAGATTCCGCTGCATGAAAGGTTAGGTCCCTTGTTTGAGAGGAGGATTGTTGGGATACAAACAAGTCTCATATCGATAAAATAATACAACAAATAACAACTTATATAATACAAACATACTTCAATGATTGAGAGGCCTTTTGGGTAATGACCAAAAGTAAAACCGTGAGGGCTAAGGCCCAAAGCGGACAATATCTCATCATTGTGGAGTATGTTTGTGTAATAACCTTATAAAAATAATTCATAAAATATCCTCTCAGACAAATACCATAAAAAATAACCTCATCAGTGGTATAAGAGCCGCAGGTTGGATTCGGTGACAACCAATAACCCTATAACCCCTCATAACTCATAAAATATAATGTGCTATATAAAGACAGATTCTGCTGCATGAAAGGTTAGGTCCCTTGTTTGAGAGGAGGATTGTTGGGATACAAACAAGTCTCACATCGATAAAATAACATAACAAATAACAACTTAATTATATAATACAAACATACTTCAATGATTGAGAGGCCTTTTGGGTGATGACCAAAAGCAAAACCGTGAGGGCTAAGGCCCAAAGCGGACAATATCTCATCATTGTGGAGTATGTTTGTGTAATAACCTTATAAAAATAATTCATAAAATATCCTCTCAGACAAATACCATAAAAATAACCCCATCAGAAAAAGGCCTCTCAATCATTGAAGAGGCAAAATCCTTAACTAATTACTGAAATGGTGCATGGTATCACAATGATAGTTAGCGGGTTATATCAATAGGTGACTTGGTTAATGGATGCATATGTCATGGCGGATCCATATCCAAACTATGTTATACCTGATGATAGGTACTAGACTTTCATATTTTAAGTGACTGAGATATTATGTTGTGTTGTGAATTAATATTCAAATTTGCAGTTGATTTAGCAAGCCTAAAAGATCATGTTGCCAAGCTGGTTCGATAAGGTCAATTTACATAAACTTTTCACCTGTATTGTAAGAGATCTTTTAGATGAAATGCATGGCGATGCATAAGTTGCTTGTAGTTGAGATGATTGTGTCGTTTAGTTGATGTGTTGTATTGTTCATATGCTAAGTTGATTTGATGATAAATTATGTATAACTATGTTAAGTTGAAATAAAAACAGATTTCTATCCCAACTAGCAACAAATTAAAGTAACATCCAAAAAATAAATTATAAGACTTGGTCAAAATCATTAAAAGAATAAAGTAACAAGCATTTAATTAAATTTTAAATTATACTAAAATTCTCAACATAATATCAAGAGTACACGCAATGGGCTCGAACAATTATGAAGATGTTCTTTTAGAACCTATGTCGAAAAGTTGGCTTGCAACTGCATGCTATAGGCTTTGAATAATGTTGCCGTTGAGAAAGTGCTACTATATTTACACAAATCATAAACGAGAAAGCCGGGGTAAAAGACAATTATATAGTGCATTACAGACAATTATTTCTTTCAGCTTTAAGACATTAACTAATTATTTTCTAAAATGAAGCTTAACCAAACATGCTTTATTACATAATTGACATGACAAGTGAGAGCGAGATTATAATTGCTGAACATATAGATTTTGTAGCTTAATACTTAAAACTCTATTTTATGTGGCTGCCGATTGGGGTATGCTAAGTACAAAGTCGTACAAACATTACGGTTTCAAAATCTTCTTTGGAAATATCACTACGCCTGGTTTATTTATTTCGAGATGTTTTGGACTCAAGGAAAAAACAACTTCAGCATGTTCTCTACAACAATATTCATTATTCTCATGTGGACAAGTGCTACACTTACATGTACGTATATGTACATGTAACATATGAAGCATCTTAGAGAAAAAACAAAACATGAAGATGAGTTATTATCTTGCAGTGTTTCTGATGCTGCTTCTTTCAATCTCATGTGCAGCTTCTACCTTGGTTGAGACCAAATTCAAGGCATGCTTGTTAACCCAACTTCATAGCAATTCTGAATTCATTGAAGAAAACATATTCACCTCATTCTCCTCATTATATCCACAAGTTTTGGAATCACTGGAACAAAATCCCAGATGGCTGAATTCCTCAAGGAAGCCTCTTCTAATTCTAACACCTTTCCATGAGTCAGAAATTCAAGCAACCATTCAATGCAGCAAAGAACTTGGTTTGCAACTCAGAGTGAGAAGTGGTGGCCATGATTATGAAGGGCTATCATACCTTAGCAATGCCCCATTTGTGATGGTTGACCTCATCAACATCCGTTCCATTGAAATTAACCTTTCTGATGAAACTGCATGGGTTCAGGCTGGGGCAACATTAGGTGAACTTTACTACAAAATTTCAAAAGCAAGTGAAGTGCATGGATTCCCTGCAGGAACATGTCCTAGTGTAGGGATAGGGGGGCACATAAGTGGAGGGGGTGCTGGTACCATGTTGAGGAAACATGGTTTAGCCTCAGACCATGTTGTTGATGCTTACCTCATAGATGCAAATGGGAGGATCCATGATAGAGAGTCAATGGGAGAAGATGTGTTTTGGGCCATAAGAGGAGGTAGTGCTACTAGTTTTGGAGTCATTCTTTCATGGAAGATAAGGTTGGTTAGAGTTCCACCTATTGTCACAGGGTTCAACATTCACCGAACACTAGAGGAAGGAGCCAGCAAACTCATCCATAGGTGGCAACATATAGCACATGAATTGCATGAGGATCTTTTCATTAGAGTGATTGCCCAAAATAGTGGTGACAAGTCAAAAACATTCCAAGCAACCTTCAACTCTCTCTTCCTTGGAGGAATACAGAAGCTGATCCCACTCATGAATGAGAGCTTCCCAGAATTGGGATTGCAGGCCAAAGACTGCACTGAAATGAGTTGGATTCAATCAATTATGTTCATTGATGGACACAACAAAGAGGACCCTCTAGAACTCTTGCTCAACAGAACTACCTCATATAAAAGCTCTTTCAAGGCCAAGTCTGACTTTGTGCAAGAGCCAATACCAATAGCTGGTCTAGAAGGAGTTTGGAATAAGCTTCTAGGAGAAGAAACATTGGCCATGCTGATAATGGAACCATATGGTGGTAGAATGAATGAAATTCTTGAATCTGAAACCCCTTTTCCCCACAGAAAGGGAACCTTGTACATCATACAATACTTGGTCAAGTGGGAAGTGAATAGCATTGAAGCTTCTAAGAGGCATCTAAACTGGGCTAAAATGGTTTATAGATACATGACTCCTTATGTCTCTAAATCTCCAAGAGCTGCATATTTCAACTACAAGGATCTTGATTTGGGCAAAAACAAGCATGACAACACAAGCTACTCAGAAGCTAGTGTTTGGGGAGAGAAGTACTTTAAAGGAAACTTTAGAAAATTGGCACAAATTAAGACAAAGTTTGACCCCCAAAACTTTTTCAGGAATGAACAGAGCATTCCTCTCCTAAATTCCCATCATAATTAACATAAAGGGCAAAACACTATTTGGAGCACCAGAAACATTTGGGTAGTGTTTATATTATGTTAACCTTCTAATTTGTGTGATTGTTAAGAGGCCCAACCTGGAATGGTATGCTGCTCTTGCAGACATTTCAGAAGTAGGAGATGCAAATTCAAAATGGATATGATGTATTTGCTTAATGGGTGTGGACTTGTCACTTTTGTAACATATAATGAAGTTATAAAATCTCATAAAAATGTACCCTTGCCAATTATGTGTTATTGACCTTCACGTAGGGTCTAGTCACGGGCCCAGACACGAAAGATTCCTTCTTTCGACCAATAGTGAAAGCAAGATACATACTTTGACAGAGTTCTCCTCAACTAACACAAGATTTTCTGAAATTATTTCTCATTGATTATATTTTCATGGCTTTCGGAGTGCAAAAGAAAATTGTTTATCGCTTCTGTTTCTTTTATTTAATCATTTAGAGATTTCAGTTTAATTTGTGAAGAATCCTTTATCCCTTTAGAAGAAAGTTTTGAAAATAATCTAATTTTCTTTTATTTTTATAATTTATTTTACTTATTCTTAATTAATGTCACGAAAGACAGTCATGTTTGTGTTTAATTTTTATTTTATTTTATTTTAAACTTAAAAGATTTGTATAAAACTAAACTTCATATTTGGAAAGGTATTTGATTAGTTGCATAACATTGTCTAATTATGTAGCTCAACATATTTTAAGCTTTATAAGGGTTTATTTTAAAGTATGTTTGAAAAAGATTTTGAAAATATAAGTTCACCCTCTTATATTTTCTGTTCAACAACATATTTCTTATATAGAATTATGGAGATCACAAAATTCAACAAAAAAAAAAATCTTCACATATAAGATAGTGGGTATGTTTACATAATTATTACAAATGGTTTGAACTTAAATTGATAATAGACCACATTAGAGATAATGTCATCATGAAAATAAGAATATTTTTAAGTTAAAAATATTATCCTCAACTAATTAAAGAGCACTTCTGCTCCTATTTTTAAGGAAGTAACCAAACATTCTCCTACTTAATCCATTTAATTCATTATCTAGTTGAATAAGAAACAAAAATATATAAATCATGGTGACAAGTCTTCTATCATTATATATCAATAACTTGTTTAGATAAACAACTTATTTAAGATCTGATTTAATAAGCTCTTAAGTAATAAAGACTTATAACAATATAAGTGCTTAAAATTCAATAAATTTTCGCATTTGGATATATATGTTAATAATCACTTATAGAATTTTAAAATATTTGAATATATCATTATTTAAGTACTTATAAGATATTATTTTATTTTTAAAATTAAAAAAATTACACATTAAATTTTGACCAAAAATAAAATATAAAGACTTAAAAATGTTTAGTCCCTACAAGATTAGTTTATTTTGATTTTAATCATTGGAAAAAAATATCTTTATTTCTTATCCTTCTAAAATTGAAACTATTATTTTTAGTTTTTTTTTATCACTTTAAACTACTTTTTTTATTAAAATATTAAGTGAATATCCTAGTGATATTTTGATAAGAGAATCTTTTATATCTATATCCTGCATTTTAAATTAAATGGTCAAACTATCTCTCCTCCTACATTATTTCTCAAACTACCCCCTTTTTGATGTATTGAGAAGTCGAGTATCGGGGCCAACTTCTCAATGCCTTTTCTTTTTATTATCTTTTATTTTTAATTTATAAAAGTATATTTTTAATATAATAAATATATATTTTTAAAGTATGAAAATATAAATTAAAAAAATTATTATAGTAATTAAAAAAAAAAATAAATATTTATTTTTTTATTTAGATAAATTTTTTATGACTATTATAAAAGTTATTTTTTTGTGCAATTTTATTAATGTGTATGATATTTTAATGAATAAAGTATAATATAAAAAAATATGTAAAGCATAAATTAAATTTAAATATTATAAATAATAAAAATATACATGATTTTTTTAAATTTTTAATTATTCAAACATAAAATATATAAAAAAAATATCATAATTGTTGAAGTTGTGGACATTTTTTTCTTGAGTGTCCAACAGTTTTACAATAAACACATCTTTTGAGTTGATTCTTTTTTCTAAGGTCCATCTCAATGTGTATGCAAGTAGATTTAGGGCAACTTTTGGGATTTCTTTTTGGATCATGACACCATTCATCTCTGTTATATTATGGCCACTCATTTTCGTCGGCAGTAATCTGAATGAAGTGTTATACACATTAAAAATATTTTATAATTTGTAAATCAGATAAAGGAATGACATGTGATTCAAGTGTACATGTCCAATGCATCTATGACATGTGAACAAGGCATATGTATGGCTTGAAATTTACCACAACCACAATTTTTTGTTTGGAATAATACTTTGAATCTTTTTTGTGGTCATCCATGTTAAGTCAAAAGACAATCTTAGATTCCTCAATGTTCAAAAGTTTTAATGATAACAAACATTATGTCTTTCGAGAAGAAAATGTTTTCAAAAATTTGTTATTTCAGACTTTGTAAGACGAAGTAGCTATAGCATCTGTAAGATGGAGCAAATCAAACGAAACATACAATTATTCTCAATGTTCATTATTTATTATGATTGATGTTTTCAAATTTTCAAAGTAATGCTTTATACCTTAACAAATCGAAAGTCATTGTCTTAGAACTCATATTCTGTTAAAAGTGTATAAAAGCATGTAAAGCATTAGAACAAAGGACAAAGATCAAATTTCACAAAAAAGGTGTAGGAAAAGGACTGCATCCTTGCTGCACACTAACTTTGCTTCCTATTATTCCCATTTTGCTACTCTGCTATGATAAGTAGCTTGATCTATCAAAGACAAGGAGTATGTTGAGGTTAGCGGAAATACACATAAAAGGGAGAGGTTGAATATGTGTGTGTGTGTGAACACAGAATTTTAAAAACGTTTTCGCAAGAGTGGTGTTCTTCGTCCAGTGCACTTTTGAATATTAGACGGTTATGCAAATTTTGTGTAATACAGAATTATTGCGTCTGAAAGATTTATAGTCTGCTTAGGAAAATATTTCATATAACAATAATGATTAAGGTTCTTGTATTTTCCTTTTCAAGATAGTTTCGTTTAAGAATAAGCAGTAGATGAAACTTCCAGTATAATATGTTTGTTAAAAGAAATTTGCGTCTTCGTCTGAAAAATGGTATTAATGAGAATTATATAGTTGATGAAGTTTTCAACAAGGTTTGTCAATTAAGAAGTGTTCGCGCCTGAAGAATAAATAAAATAGTGCAATCATTTTTATACTGGTTCGCTCAATCTGAGCTACGTCCAGTCTCCTTCAACTGAAGGGTTCCACTAGATATGAAATGAAGTACACAAGTATTATTGACCACTTCTGGCCCAAGTATTCTCGACCACTCCTGGCCTGCCAGCTTAACTCACCAGTGCTAGTATTCTTACACCACTTCTGGTTCAAGTATTCTCGACTACTTCTGGCCCGCCAGCTTCACTCACTAGCACTAGTATTCTTAAATCACTTCTGGTTCTCCAAGTATTCTCCACCACTCTTGGCTTGTCAGCTTCACTCATCAGCGCTAGTATTCTTAAACAACTTCTGGTTCTCCAAGTACTCTCAACCACTTCTGGCTCGTCGGCTTCACTCACCAGCGATAGTATTTTCTTATCAGCCACTTCTGGCTAGCAGTGAGTATTCTTTGACAAGCCCCTCCGGGCTTTAGAATTATTCTTTTCCTAGCCTCTTCAGGCTTTACGATGTTGGCTAGAGAGTTTTGGTTTGAGTGTATACATAACTCTCATAGAGAGGATTGGGAATTTCCTACACTCACTAAGGTTTGTTACCTTAGTTTTATAGAGACTTGTGTTTTAGTGTTTGGGTTACTCTCATGGAGAGGATACATAGGTTTACAACACTCACTAAGGTTTAGTCCATCACCGAAATTTTGAACACCTTAGTTTACAGAGATAAAAAGTACAATATAACATTATACATATGACTATGTATGCTCATCTCGTGGGCTTGATATCACTCTTTTTCTTCCAATCAAAAAGCCAACCTCTTAAGGTTTGAGATAGTGATATATATATATATGGTCTAGTGGATATCTGCCTCTTACAATTGTCCGTTGAAGCAAATATAGCCGTTTACGACCAGTTTGAACTTCCCATTTAATGTTTAGATTCGTGCATTAAATGTTGCTTCCCATTTATAGACAATGCGTGAAGTTTTCTTGCTCAGTTAGTAGCTGTATCTGAATGTAGTAGAGTCCTAGGAAACTTGTGTCCTTTTCTGACCCGAATTTGTCCGTTGACGCGGAGCTTCCCGTTGCATATGTTCGTTGATGCTGATATAGTTGTTCATGACTAGTTTGATCCTTTCATTTAATGCATTTGGCCTTACATTAAATGTTGCTTCTTGTTCATAGACATTGCGTGTATTCTACTTTGGCCTATTGTCAGTGGTCTTTGACTTTATCTGAGACCTAGAAGTTGTTTGTCTTTTTCTGGTTATGCAGCAATATAGTCGTTGTCCTTTTCTGAAAAAGTAACGCATTTTTTTTGACACATGCATGCTTTCTATTTTGACTCGTTTCTCTTCTCCTTCTTCCTTTCCTTTGACGTAAAGAGCTTCTTATATGATTGTGGACGATGTCTGAGTTTTCCTCTGAGACTTGATTCTTCATATGCTTTTTTGGCAGTCTTTGTCTTTGTCTGTTTGTTCTGTGCATCTCAATTTGACCTTTGTCTCAACGTTTGAGTTTAGTGGCTTGCCTTTTCTTGATCTGGTCAAAAGTGTGAATCAACCTTGTTTCCGTTTGGAGTGTCTCTCAGTCTGTGTTGTCCTTCGTCTGATGCATGGTTGACTTTCTTTAGACCTTAGACATATGCCTTGTCTGATTTGCGCTTTATGATAGTTGTACTAGACACGTCTTTGTCTGAGTATTTTATGATCGTCTGGCGCATACTCGTGTTCCAATTATTCTC